GGGAAAGCAGATCATCTTAGACATATCTAATTAATGATAGTTTTCAACAAGTTTTCTTAAAAAGGATGAAGATCAAAGGCACAAGGAAATGGTTTTCTGTTAAAAGTTGGAAGTGCCCAAGTGGACAATCATCATCAGCTTACTGGATTTCCAGAAAAGAACAATGAATTTCCTTTATCTTGATTTGTAATGATGCCAGTCTCAAAGAAACAAAACAGACAGGATTTGAAAATTCAGTGAGTACAGTTGTTGGCCTGTGGGGAAGAATAACCTGGGTGATAACTGAAAGGCACGCAGTTTGAATCCATCAGCTGCTCTGCAGGATTAAGGCTGACAGTCTCCCCTTGTGTGATTGACAATCTCCCCTTGTGTGACTAAGTGCCTCTGAAAACCCACCATACCGTCAGGAATGATTCAGCCTGATTCAGGGGTAAACAACATCTGGATATGACTAAATAAAATACTGCAAACTGACAAAAACAAAACCTAACAAAGAATTGCAGTGATATCTCTCTCTGGTGAAGCCTTTCCCACATTCACTGCAGAAAGAGGGCTTCTCCTAGGGAGTGAATCAGCTGCTGGACAGTGAGGTGCTTCATCTTGGGTAAGCCTTGTCCACTCTCCCTGTACACATAGGGGTCTCTCTCTTGTATGGGTTCACTGTGAACAGTGAGCTCTATGATCCTGGTGAATGAAGCCTTTCCCACAATCCCCACATACATTTTTTCATTTTGTGCACCTTCTGCCTCCCATGGGAGTCTGCACCACAAATCCAAAGGCAGACCTTTCTCTTCTGTCATTCTCACAACTCTATGGCAATGAGCAGCGTTGAGGTATTATAAAAAAAATACAGATTTGACTGTTTTGTAAAATATAACTCAACTTGTTGTGTGTGAGTTGGAACTGACACATCGCTGACATTAAAGCAGGTTTTTAGAGGTTATAAATCCCATGGGAGGAACCTATCCACCTTTTTATGTGGAACTGCTAAACATTTGAATCACTTGGTTTTCGTTTGTAAGTGCAACTCATTACCCACTAAGGC